ATTTCTCTGGTGTCGCGCTGCTCCAAGCCGCGTCAACCAAGAATGCAAGCAACGTCGAAGCTCTTCTCCTTGCTGGAGTTCGTCCGTCCGCCACCAACGAGGTGTGCTGCTCCTTGCATATACGAAAACACCGTTCTACGATCCCTCCGTAACTCTAGGACGGAGCCACCGCACTGCACGTGGCTGCTGCCAACGGCCACGACACCATCGCTGCGCTGCTGCTGGCCAAGGACCCGTCCCTCTCTTGTCGCAGCGACCATGTATTCCATCCCTCCACACTCAACCAGCCTTTCATATTCCACACTAACTAGCGAGGCAATCTGCCGCTGCACCTTGCGGCCGCCAACGGTCACTTGACCGTCGTCGATCACCTGCTCAAGGATGCGACCAACAGCAGTGGTCTCGACTGCACCAACAACGTACGACAATCGCTTTTCGTGGTTTCCTCATCGCCGATTTGTAGGAGGGGAACACACCCCTTGGTGTCGCTATCACGAGCGGCCGCGCGGCCATTGTGGCTCGTTTGCATCAAGCCAGCGTAACTTTTATTCTGAAATCGTATCCGTCGTGAAAGAAAGCGACACAAATGCTGTAGAACGGCAGCAAGAGCCCGGTGGCCAACGCGTCCTTACCACGCCAGAGCGCAGTGGCCCCAACCAAGGTCCGCTGCTATCATGGCCTTCTGGAGATGCCAGATCTCATGTAGATGATGACCTTTTTGATGGCCGAGGCAGGGCAATTAGAGGTGCTTGAAGGACTACTCGCCGAATGTCCCGAGCTGCTATCGGCCGTCAATGTATGTTTTCCGTCATCTCTGTCAACGCTGACTCGCCGATGCAGGATTACGGCATGACGTTGCTCATGCTCGCAGCCGCCAAGCACCATACCGCAGTAGTCGAGATGCTCCTTGCGCTGCTGGTTCCCGCGCCTGAGGCCGCCGCGACGTACCCGACCGTAATGACGCGCTGCGCCCTACTCGAGGCAGCCCTCGCGCACATGCAGCAGTGCAACAAGGTACATGCGTCCCCTGTCGCTGTTTTTGGTACCGAATGAGCTTGTGTAGGCTCAAGTGTCGGTGCTAAAGCTTGCAAGCGGCGACGTGCGGACGCGACTCGAAGCGTTTCTCATGGATGTTCAAGCGGAGCTCACGAACGACCGAAGTGAAGTGGCGACCAAGGTACATTGATATTATCCTCAATCGCACTTCGACGGTTGCACCTAGGAGCGCACGCTCACGAATGCTGTCGTTCTCGGTCAATGGACGACAGTCCAGGCGCTCCTTTACGAGGGCGTCCCGTATAAGGACATGGTTCGAATGCCATCGAATCTACTCTCAAGGTATAGACGACGTGCCGGCTAGGACAAGATTGTGGGCCAGGCCGTCGCGACGGACAACGCAGCGCTACTGCGAGCCCTTCTTCTCCGCGCCGATGACGCGACCAAAAGCAAGGTACACCGTTCAAGGCATTTCGTCCAACATAACGCTCGGTAGGTATGCGAGACGGTGTTGCCGGCCGCCGTGGCCATGAACAAAGTCCGGCTGGTCGGGCTACTCCTGCAGATCGCTGCCAGTCTTGCCGATGGCGTCTGTGGGGTACTCGTTGTGGCATGTGCAGGACGGCTACACAAATACTCGTGTAGATGAACACCACGCTTCTGCACATGGCCGTCAAGCAAGACCATGCGACCTTGCTGACGCTCTTGGCTGCAAGTTCCCTTGTCGACATGAACGCCAAAAACGAAGTATGTTGCATGCGGTCGGATCTTGCTGATGTACCATGTGCTATGGTAGGACGGGTACACGGCGCTGGCGCTGGCCGTCCTGTGCAAGCGCAGTCACCTCGTTGACGTTCTCTTGAGCCTTGGCGCTGACCCTTCGTGGCCGCTGCCAGTGCGTGCTCCTATGAGGCAATGCGATAGACTGGCAGCTCATGCTTCAAATAGGATGGTTCTCCGTTGGTAGTAGCCGCGGTGCAAGGTCTCCCAGAGACCCTCGCGATCCGAGACGCGCTGCTCGCAGCCTACGGGATTATCTTGGATGATACCGACCCGGTCTCTCTGGTCCACGCTGCTTTGGCTCATAGTAAGCGTCTAGGACGGTCTCAACAAGGCCCTCGTGCAAGCTGTGCGTCGAGGCCGCGAAGATACCGTGCGCTGCCTCTTGGAGTTGGGCGCGGACGTGTGGACCATGCAACCGGTAGCTTCGCTGGTACCGTCTTCGTATCTTGATCCTCGGTGTAGGAGCAAAAGGGGATGACGCTTCTCGCTGTGGCCATCCAGCACGGCCATGACGCCATTGCGCAAGAGCTCTACCCGCACCTCTATCCAGGTGTCGCGGTGGTATCGCCTCTTTCCTTCGGACGATCGCAAGTAGCGTTGCTACTAGGCGTCGACCGACGAATTGACGGTCGAAGTGAGCATTTTCACAAGCCACACCGTGACGGTTCACAAGGGCACGTACTTGGGCAAGGACGCGGTCTTGAAAGGCTCCAAGTTTGCGAATGCGCGCCTGATCAAGACCATGTATCGAGAAGTCGAGATTATGAAAACGTACAAACGTGTCCGAATCGTAGCGTCTTGTGACGCAATTCCTGTAGGCTCACGTCGCCGTACCTCCTGCCGCTGCTCGCAGTCCTCGACAATGGCTCGCTGAAGCCGCACGCCGTCAAGCCGCGGAGCCAGCTGTTTAGCCCGACCATGATCACAGAGTACATGGACCAAGGCGATTTGTTCCAGTACCTCCAGCACAAACAGCACGGAGTAGACTTGGAGATGGAGCTCTCGACCATTGAGGTCGCACTGGCCGTGGCCATGGCGCTGGCCGACCTGCACCGCCGCAACGTGGCCCACCGCGACGTCAAGAGTCTCAACATCTTCCTCTCGAAGACGTACTACGTCCGGCTCGGCGACCTGGGCTCGGCGCGGATGCTCGATGGTGACAACTTCACGTCCAACGTCGGCACCAAGTTTTGGATGGC